CTGAGGAATTAATAGAGCACGGGGCTGCCAGGACTGGTTATACTGGGAGGGTATCTCACTCACAGGCAAAGGGGTTCTGCCCTCTGAGATTGACACCAGTGGAAGTACCCCTGCACAAACCCTTCTGAGGAGGGAGAGCACAATTTGGAAGCTGCCATGCCTGAAAGTCTTATTCAAGCATGTTTAAAGCCGTTGTTTGTCTACATTAATCACTTCACTGCAAACTGAGCATCCGTGTCTTTTTCTCTGCAGAAGCCCGCTGGAATTTCTGGCTTTCAGCCAGACACATTCAAGAAGTTTCTGGCACTGTATCTGCATGGAACTGTGTGAAATTCAGCTCAAATGAAAATACTTCACCAACTGTACCTGCTGCTTCTCTTTGCCAGAACCATCACATAATTAAAGAAAGGTGGATTAATTTACTTTAAAAAATAAATTATATTGTTACTGAAAGTAAAATCTTTTTTTTAACTAAACAGTGCATGAAGAAACTCTTTCATTTTAGGGGCTCACCTCTGGATTTGGGTTAGAGAAGTCGTCAGATGCATCCTCCTGCACTCTTCCTCCATTGCCTGGGAAGAACATAAGCCAGTCATTATTCCTCTGCGCAGGCTCTGCTCTCAGTGTGCTTCTGCACAGAGCCAGACTCAAACCTATTCCCGAGGTTGCTTTGAGTCCCTCTGAATGCAGAAGAGACTTAAAAAGCTTCAAGGGGAAAGCCTGAGCTACGAGGCTTTTTCATTCTGCCTGGCTTTGACTTTGTTTTACTCCTGGCTGCCGTGGGATGCGTCGTGCTGCCCTGTGCTTAGTTCCCAAAGCACTTAATCGGAGGGATTGCTTTGTTGGATCTGTAGAACCACAGTCCTTTTATCCCCCAATCCTGGATGAAGAGACCTGTGCATTTGGGGAAAGTGGTGTAGAATGTAGAGGGAAACTTTGGTGCCTGTAGCTGGTATTTGCTGCTAAAAATACAAAGGAAGAATTTCTTCCTGCCACACAGAGTTAACTGAGCAGGAAGCATATTCTTTTTAACATGGGGGGATTAGTGTGGGTTTTATAAAATGAAAGCTAAATTAGCTGCAGCCAAATGTAGAATGTTTTGCAGTTCTGATACCCTCCAGCACATGGGAAGGGAGAGGACAGCCTGTGCTATTTTAAGGTGTGGAAGAGCACATTTCCAAGAAATTCATCTCACTTCAGTGTCTTGTGTCAGAGGCTGGTCTGTGCTTTGTGATCCCTGGCCATCTGGATGAACACCCCAGTTGTGTGTTCCAGCCCCAGCCCATCAGGCAGCTCCACTCTGCAGCTTTCGGGAATGTTCTCCAGTCACATTTGAGATCAACAATTGCACCCCGTAAATTGGGATGCAGTGGCTGCAAGCTAAATTAACAAATCCCTCTACAGTTAGCAGAAGAAGTGCTTGAAAGAGAAAAAGCCTCATAACCATTGCATTGCTCTGCATCATCTTAATCCTGCCTGCTCCAGGGATTCCTAATTCAGCTCAACGGAGTAAATCTGTTCAGGTCTGTGATTTGCACCCAGGTGTTTGGGAATACATTTGAACAGAGCTGTGCTCTGTGGAGCCTGTCACACGCAGTGGGTGTTTCTTTCTCGGGCTGTTGCCTCCCTGCTGTGTCACACAGACCCTGCTTGACATCCCCTCGCTCTTCCAGCTTCGGGTCATTACCCGTCCTAGGGAGGAAGCCCTGTAGGGCAGCCAGCTGCCCGTTAGCATTCCTGAGGAGAGAATTTCCCTGAGGAAGCCTGGTGGAAGAGCAGCTGTGCTGGAAAGGGGTTGTGTAGAGGTGAAACACCTCGTGTGCTTCTAGTAGATGTGGGAATTTGTGGGGATGGTCTGTCTGGAAGAGGCAGAGTCCCTTCAGCTGCTTTTACCTCTCAACAAAGACATCTCTGTCAGGGCAGGCAGTTGAAGGGGAGAGAGTGAGGGAAGCTGGAACCCTGCTGTGTCCAAGCTGAGCTGAGACAAAGCACAAGCACAGGGAGGGATGGACGAAGGCAGAGCAAAGGCAGTTTTGAAAAATAGCAGAAGCAGGGAGACATGGGATGGTCAGCAGGAAAACAAGGCTTCAGGGGTTGTGCGAGGCATCAGGAAGCTACTGCAGGTGAGGGGAACATACACAAAGCTGTGTACATCCCTGCTTTGCTGAGGCACGGCCACTCTCACCTGAGGCCGGGGGGAAGCGGTACCTGTGTGTCACTGGATTGAGCTGGATCCTTGTGCAGGGAATGCTCCTCCGAGGGCCTGGAGGGGAGCTCAAGGTGGAGGTGAGTGGAGCTCCCAGCACGGCACCTGGCACCATGCTCAGGGCTGCCGTGGTCCTCAAACCAGGCAGCCCCTACCACCTGTCCTTGGTGTCCTGCTGCGCTTCCCAAGCACTCTGCATGGCTCAGCTCTCCCAGTTCCCCCAGTGGGCCTGCTGGAACCGGCCCAGCTGAGGGAGGTGGGATGGGGACCCCAACAATGGGTCACAGGAGCACATCTGGGTTGGCATCAATAAGTTATAAAGGCTCATCAGCAGACAAATGGCGTTACCTCAGCACGGACCAGGGCCAGGCATTAACTTTTCATGAACGGCAGCCAGGGAAGCAGAACATGCAAGAATGGGGTGGCAGGAGCCTGAGATGAGGAGGCAGAGGAACCTGGCTGCCTACAGGAGAACTCTGGAGGACCCAGAGGAGCCTGGCTACCCACAGGAGAGCTCTCCACCACTCCACACTCCCTTCCCCTGAACTGCTCCCACTGCAAAATCCAGCTCCACAGGCTGCACACATCATGCCAACAAGTACACACTGTGCTGAGCCTGGAGCCCCTGGTTGTTCTGATCCTCCTCCTGCATTTAATTTAATGAAAACTAATGGGGGAGACAATTATCCCTGAGGCTGGGCTCAGGAGACGTTTCGAGGAGGGAACTTGGCAGTTTCACGGTGATATTTAATAATACCAGCCTGTAACCCTTAAGAAGCAAAAGGAAGGACTTTCTGTACCCCACAATAAAAACACAACAGGCAGCAGTGCAGGAGCCTGCTGCTCTGAGCAGCTGAGCAGGGCCTGGGTAGGCAGTGATGGCCACAGTGGTCTGGGAGGGCAGGATTTCCTCATCAGCCTCAATCCCTCAGGAGTCATGAAACCAAGTGATGGGCAATGCTCATACTCTACTTTCTGCAAGGCACAGGGGGATGTGATTGCCTGGACCAAAATCCACACTGGGGATGGCTGCAGGCCCTGCACATGGACATCTGTGGTATTAGCCTGGAAACAAACCTGCCCAGGCAACAAAGGTTGCAAACACACCCTGCTCCTCTGCCGATGGTGATTCCCAAACCCAGGAGCCATCCAATGCATTGCCCCCTTGCCCTTCTCCAGGAGCATCCATAACCACACGGTGCCCGCTGCTGGAATTCCAGCAGTGACGTGGCTGTGGGTGCCAGTGCCAGGTGGGAGCATTCCCCAGGAGCAGCAGAGCTCCAGGATGGCTCACAGCCCCCCGAGCCCACAGCCCACGCCTGAACATTCCCACAAGGAGGGGGAGAGCTCACAGCCAGCCATGTCCTGCCCCAACTAGTCAAAGGCAGAGAACAGGTCTCACACAGCAGCTCCTGGGAGCGTTTCAGGCACCTGGCACTTGCAACCACCCATGCAAAGCCTAAAAATTTCCCAATCTTCCCCCCAGCCTCTGATGCTGCCCCTTGGGGAACCAGGTTGGGTTGCCTGGGTTTCTTCGTCCCCAGTAGCTCCTGGAGCTGTTTGCTCCTGTGTGCACACACCCACCCTGCACTGCAGCTCTTGCCCAAGGAGGGGGTCACAGACCCCACTGCAAGCTCAGTATTTACACATTTGGAAACAACACTTGTGTATTCCCCTCCCTTTCTTACCTCCCAGCAGTGCAGGACCCTGGCAAAGGGAAGTAGCAGCACCCAGAGCCAGGGAGCTGCTGCAGGGCAGACCAGCCTCCATCATCACGCTGGTATCCCAACTCCTCCAGCCTCTAACGGGCAAAGCCTGGGGAACAGTGAACCAAAATTCCCTTTTTAGCCCCTAAAATACCCCTCTCTGCCTGCAGCCTGACGGGCTGGGTGTGGGGAGGGCAAGAGTCCAGCCAGAACATCCTCAGCCTGCTGCAGACAACTCTGACCATTTTCTAGGCTAAACTTTCAAAATGCTTTAAAAAAAACCCAAAAAATTCCAAGAAACACACAGGCATCATTAAACCTCACCTAGGTCCTGAACTGCATCCTGAATGGTCCTGAATACCTCTGGGATTTTGAATTCCCAGGCTCAGTCAGCCCCTCTAAAATGCCTCCTCAGCTCTGCATCAACTCTGCTCCTGCACCCCAAATCTGGTGTTTGGCCCTTGCTAAAGTTTGGAAAAAAATACCCAACTCCCACCCTGGGTCTGGCAGCAAACACCAGAAACAAACTGCAGAGCACCGAAATCAAATGTTTATGTTGATATTTATTACAGCAGGGGGAGGGGGCAGAAGGAGGGGGAACCGTTTCATTCAAAAAACCATCCCATACCAATGAAGACAATAATTTAGCTATTCATTTTAAAATACATTAAAACTGGTCC